AAGCAATCTTTAGCAAACTAACTCTGGGTATTCGTTTAGAATTACTTTTCAATGGTCGTTTAAATTCTGCTCCTATCACGTAAAATATGCTAATTTGAAACACATTCATTTATGTCGATATTCATATTATCAATTTTTAACATAATATCAAATAAGGTTTTGTTTGTAAAATATTTCCCACCTTTTTCTTGAAACAAACCCTTACTTTTGTTGTTTAATACATTCACTGATTCCACACATCGAGAATCTTCTTTCATTTCAACCGTTTCAACATTAATGTTGCAATATTGCTGTAATGACGGAACACTATGATCTGCGGAAACCAAATCATTTAACTAACCGATCGTTCATTTAGATCGCCCATTAAAACAAATTTTTTTGAATTGTATTCTTGTATATTATCTAGTCAGAAAATCTTCTACCAAGAAGATGCCTTTTAATATTTTATCAGAATAAAACGGCGATTCATGTGTGGCAGTATATACACACACATATATATATACACATTATAAATACGTTTTCACTTGTATTTGTAAATTACTTTTCAATATTTAATATAATATTAATCGCGCATGTTTCATCAATTTGCTTTATATGATTAACTATTTATTTCATTTCTGCAGTACACGGGCAAGACCCCCCATTGCTCATGTTTTTATTTTTTTTACCGCTGGTGGGAAATATTCAGTATGAGATGCCAAGAGGTTTTTGTGTCTCTTTATTGCTTCTTCCCAAAGTTTTAGCCAAGCTGATAATGTCATAACCTTTTATATAATCAATAAGGTCTATGTCATCACATGTTCTTAGAACGCTTTCAATATTCCAAAATCCAATATTTAAATGTTTCAATTTTGGGCCTTGACAGGATATAGCTACTTAATTTGAGTTTTGTTATTATAACTTCGTTTGCCACTATGATATTTATTAGGGATGTATTATCGTATTCCGCATAGTGCGCACTTTTTTATTTTTCATTTACAAATTGCCTTGATTTTCCTTGCTTGTCATTAGAAGATCTGATATGAAGATTCCCCTTGATATAATATCCGGCTTTACCACGAGCCTTTAAAGTGTTTAATTCTGACCTTTGCTTTGTAGTGAGTTCTTCTGAAATGTGAAATCTCTTGGCACGTCATGCATCTCTGTCTTTAAAAAGTCTATGTTTGGCATTTCCGAAGAGAATTTGACAATTACAATTCGTTGACCGTTCGCATCTGGAGTGCCAACTCTATAAGCATCTTGTATAGACTCGTCGCACCATGATTCTCTAGGACATGCAACACAGCATATTACTTGTAATATCTTCTTTTTCAGCATACCTTCACTTTCGTCTGCATTCTCATTTAGGCCAAAAATCCTTAAATGTGCACATTGTACGTGACGTTCAATTTTGTCAACTAAATTTTCAATATGTTGGACTTCCAAAAATTCTGGTCACATGTTTCGTTTAAAAGCATCAATATCCAGTTGCATCATTTCTTTTTTACAATGTATTAAGATTTGTATAGTTGCAATCAATTGCATCCATGCTAATATTAAGCCGTTGTAGGTCAGCTTTAATTATGGCAGCTTTAATTATGGAAATATCAGAACGTACTCCATGTGGATTCTATCTCAGTTTTCTTCACTGCTTGAAAGTATAAACTTTAAAATATCTACCTTTTCGAATAGAGGGCCTGGGTTAATCTCAATATCACATCTCTTAGGATAGAATGATGACGTCATATCCTGTACATAAATATCGATGCTATTTTTATTTAAACTTACTTCACATTCATTATTTTATTGTCCTAATGTTGACAATTATCTTGGCAAGAAGTATTCCAGTTCCAAAGGTTGCTATTATAATCAGTCACATTAATAATGATCTAAGATTGATATCAGACCCTACTGATGTGTGAGGAAAATTAAACGCCTTTGAGATCCAAATGACATTTGATATACGCTTTGCATTGGAAACCGCAGTCACTACCCACAGGCAACAGCAAAGTCCCTGGTGTAATTCCCATCCGCGGGATCAATCAGATTGTTAAATCCCATTTAAACGCAACTCTCTTTGAGTTAGGCTTTATCCTCCCTTTCTATTTAACCGGCGAAAATTCAAACCTGATTTCCCATGAAAACTTCCGGAGGTGGCTTAGTTACAAACTATGCTACACAACAACGTTTAAGTAATTTTGTACTGATATAAATGTAAGTCAAAACTTGCCAACAGTGACAGCACGTACTTAATGTGGATTGGTCTTCAATGGGTACGTTTCCAAGTAGTAAGTATTTTAAATATCGATCGAAACAGTAGAAATTTTGATCTTCTTAAAAATATTTCTTGAAAAAGATAAAGAAATTAATAAAGTTTTAAGTGATTTAGTATAAAATGTTATAACTTTTAATTTTACAAAATAAGAGTTGCATAACAACTCTAAACTATTTAAAAAATGAAAATAAAATGTTAGAGAAAGAAACCGATTATTGTAAAGTCATAAAATTAAAAATTAAATTGAAACGATATCATTTTTTTTTTTCTTGTTTTTTTTTCTGTCTGTTTTTTTTATCATATTACACAACTAAAACTTAATACAAAACTACATTTATATTATTGATATTGAACACATCTGCGGATGTTTCTAAATTCAAAATTTTACTGTATCATGTTTAAATGTTGAATTCTGCTTAAGCCGGTGCTAGGGGGCGTGGACGGTAGTATTGCACTTAACAGTACCGTCCATGAACAGGCTCAATCAAACCGAGCCTGCAACATTTTCAATTTTGTCGTTTTGGGATTTCTTTAGGGATTCTTGTTTTTCTCTATTATTTCGATATTGATATAAAACAACACAAGGAACGAAATTAGTACCGCTCCTACCACTTACAAAAGATAATAATTATCATGAAAAGTGACACAGTTTGTTGCATTTGTGTATTAAAAATGCTATACATTTACTTATTCATGCATTTATATACAGGTCGGTTTGAAGACCTAGATTGATCTCAGTGATCAGCAGTATATCATTGCACTAAGAGACCACATTTGAACTTCATCATATTTCTGAACAATACAATAGTCAGTATAATCCTCAGAGGGATATTGAAATCATATGTGATTATTTTGCTAAAGAATATATACGGCGTTATTTGAGTGGGCCGACTCATGTACAGGTCAATGGTACTTTTTATGTTCACCTGCACCTTTTATTCTTGCATATCAGACTGGCGTTTCCGTGACTTTTATCCATGCCGGAAATTTCATCTGCCATGAGGGGTGCCAGATGAGTCGCGTGCTGTGCAAAGGCACGCTTAGGATGACGTCATTTTACCGTTATGAATGAAGTAGTTATTCATACGCTGTTGTAAGAAAGTAGTTATAATGATATAAATTTCCATTGAAATAAAGATAAAGAATCTAAAATATGATGGAATATGGTAGAATATGCAAGAAGAAATATCTGACATATGTTTGCGGTTCGGATCGGAATATCCGTCCCTAGGTCACCCGGGTCACCTCGAGACGGATATTCCGATCCGAGTCGCATAATATGACAGATATTATTAATATCGTCTAAACAATGCTGTTTCGATACATCTGTCTATTTTATGTTGCATTTCATTTGAATACGAGAGCTCTATTCGATGCTTGCATTTTGCCTTTTAGCAGACACCATTCAATAGTTTGCTCTTTGCGACTTAAGCTCCAATTTGGAAATCTGTTTTAAAGATAGTCAAAATTTTGATTGTATTTATTATGATTTTCAAAAGGCGTTTGACACTGTTCCATATGCTAGATTATTGAAGAAACTTGAAAGTTATGGAATTAATGGTAAATTATTAAAATGGATTGAAGCTTTTCTCCGGGATAGAAGACAAAGGGTTGTAATTGGTAGTGAAAAATCTCAATGGACTGAAGTCACCAGCGGTATTCCACAGGGAAGTGTCTTAGGACCTACACTATTTTTGATTTACATTAACGACATAGAGGATGCCATTGAAGGAACATTGCGTTTATTTGCCGATGATACAAAACTCTACAATTTAGCGAATGATAATGCAGATATAGAGAAAATTCAATCTGACAATGACAAATTAAGTTTATGGAGTGAAAAGTGGTTACTTAAGTTTAATGCAAACAAGTGCACTACATTACACTACGGAAATCAAAATGTTAATAATACCTACCATCTTAAAGTAAACAACACCAGAAATGAAATTTCAAACAGTGAATCTGTAAAAGACATTGGAGTTACTTTTGATGTGAATATGAAATTTAGACAGCAAATAAATGATTGCATCAATAAAGGAAATAGAATACCAGGACTAATGAGAAGAACATTTCTGCATTTCACAGTGAAATCTTTCGGGAAATTATTTAAAACCCTAGTTAGGCCTCATCTAGAATATGGAAACATTATTTGGAATCCTCGTTTTAAGAAAGACATCAATGCAATTGAATCAGTACAAAGACGAGCTACAAAACTAGTTAGTCAACTAAGAGATCTGTCATATGAACAACGATTTAAAACACTGAAATTGCCTTCGCTAGCATATCGTCGATTTAGAGGTGACATGATTGAAGTTTTTAAATTGTTACATAATAAGGAGGATATTAACTATGAAGTGTTTTTTTAATTAAATAACAATGCAAATACAAGAGGTCATGGGTATAAACTGAAAGTGAAATCATGTAGAACTGAGATTAGAAAGCATTTCTTTTCTCTACGGATTATCTCGGACTGGAACAATTTACCAGAAGTGGTTGTGAATGCTCCTTCACTTAACAGTTTTAAAAACAGGTTGGGCAAATTCATGGGAGCAACACAGTATACCACCATACCGGATCAGAACTGGGTACAAAGTCATGGGGGGGGGGTTATAGAAGACGATGACGTCTTGCGACCTCAACTCCAGTAAAGTAAAGTAAAGTAAAGGATCCCTACAGGGTATGACAAAGCTGGTCACCTTATTATGATCTTGTTTTTTCCAAATTTTAAATTTCTGTTTTTTATATGACAGACCGTCCCTCCTCCAAATGTTATTCACTACATGTATAAAATAACAAAGATAGACTCTAATATACTTTGTCCTTTTTAATTTTTTGCTTTTCAATAAATGCATTTAACATGTATTATATAAGATTAAAAGAAAGAGAATCAAATGGGTATTGCATTAACATTCATATTGCATGTAACCGTACTTTATTCACAAACATAGCCACCGCATTCATTTTGACAGCAAATCTTCCCGGCTGAACATGGTTGATCAGCAGGATTGCAATTGGTAATACATATGCCGAACGCATCCTTATGTACTTTCTTGCATTTCCGTTCTGAAAGTTAAATAAATGATATTAAAATATTATTCCAGTTGAATAAAACATACATGTATAGTAGTACATATTTTTAATTTTTAAAAAATTGTCAATGTGTATCAGTTTAACATAATATTTATGTACCAATTCGTAAACTTGACTCGTGATACATAACTTTTTACAAATACATTTTTATACTTCTTAATATATTGATAAAAATCTATTTGAACCGTCGGAAAACTGATATATTATAATATCTAATAATAATTATTTCTCTGGCTAAATATCAATAACAATAACACATATATGTATATCTAATCAATCACAGTTTCTGTTCATATGTCAGCGTATTTGTGAAGATCATGCTCATTTTTAAGTTCATTTGAGCTGCTTATTCTATATGCACTCCTAATTGAACAATCGCATAAAAGGGGTGTCTCAAATTAATTTGGCCTTCAATAAAGCATTATTTAATGTTTTATTGTCATGAAATTTCCTATTCGGCTTTCAACTTTTGTTAACAAAATGTATATCTTGAAAGCGTTTAGTTAACTTAACCCTTTACCACATATATACGCGAAACAACGCACTTTCGACCCCCCCCCCTTTTTTGGGCCCCAAATAGTGAAAAAATGTCCTATTTGGGCCCCAAACATAAGTTTTCGTTTGAGAAATGTTGCTTAAAAAATTGATCACTTTTTCGGCGCCGCCCCCCATCCAAAAGATACATCAGGGGGTTGCCAGAAGGGGGATGTGCCCCCTTCTGTTAGGAGGGTTTGAAGGGGGGCGGAGTCCCCCTCATCGCCAAGAAAATTTGGACTTGTGAGAGGCTAAAAATGACCCCAGGTCGATCATAATGTAACGTTTAACCAACGCTGAAAAGCCTTTGACTCTATCTCAATCCCTTGAGAAGTTGCAGCACTTTGAAATAAATTTTGATGGAAAAAATCGAGGCAAAATAGTGATTTTTGGCAATTTTGAGATGCCCCCTCGTTGCCATGGTAACAGGAAATTTAAGACTGAGCATGTCGTTACAAAGGCAATGGTCCAGTCAACATTTGTGCCAAGTTTGATTAGTATTGAAGCATTTTTCATAGTTTCATAGCAGTTTGAACTTGTAACAGGAGGCTTTTCAGTGAAAACGGCCATTTTTCACACTATGCTCATGGGGGAAAGGGTTAACTAAACAAATTATAAATGCTACAAAACAACAATTTCTCACCAAAATTAGGTGAAAGACCACATGTTAACATGGAAAAAATAGTTTTTAGGTGATTCCAAAGTTTTTCATCATTTTTATTTAACCCTTTACCTCATATATACGCGAAACAACGCACTTTCGACCCCCCCCCCTTTTTTGGGCCTCAAATAGGAAAAAAATGTCCTATTTGGGCCCCAAACATAAGTTTTCGTTTGAGAAATGTTGCTAAAAAAATTGAGCACTTTTTCGGCGCCGCCCCCCATCCAAAAGATACATCAGGGGGTTGTCAGAAGGGGGATGTGCCCCCTTCTGTTAGGGGGGTTTGAAGGGGGGCGAAGTCCCCCTCATCGCCAAGAAAATTTTGGACTTGTGAGAGGCTAAAAATGACCCCAGGTCGATCATAATGTAACGTTTAACCAACGCTGAAAAGCCTTTGACTCTATCTCAATCCCTTGAGAAGTTGCAGCACTTTGAAATAAATTTTGATGGAAAAAATCGAGGCAAAATAGTGATTTTTGGCAATTTTGAGATGCCCCCTCGTTGCCATGGTAACAGGAAATTTAAGACTGAGCATGTCGTTACAAAGGCAATGGTCCAGTCAACATTTGTGCCAAGTTTGATTAGTATTGAAGCATTTTTCATAGTTTCATAGCAGTTTGAACTTGTAACAGGAGGCTTTTCAGTGAAAACGGCCATTTTTCACACTATGCTCATGGGGGAAAGGGTTAACTAAAAAAAAATATAAATGTTACAAAACAACAATTTTTCACCAAAATTAGGTGAAAGACCACATGTTAACATGGAAAAACTAGTTTTTTAGGTGATTCCAAAGTTTTTCATCATTTTTTGTTAACCCTTTACCACATATATACGCGAAACAACGCACTTTCGACCCCCCCCCCTTTTTTGGGCCTCAAATAGGAAAAAAATGTCCTATTTGGGCCCCAAACATAAGTTTTCGTTTGAGAAATGTTGCTAAAAAAATTGAGCACTTTTTCGGCGCCGCCCCCCATCCAAAAGATACATCAGGGGGTTGTCAGAAGGGGGATGTGCCCCCTTCTGTTAGGGGGGTTTGAAGGGGGGCGAAGTCCCCCTCATCGCCAAGAAGATTTTGGACTTGTGAGAGGCTAAAAATGACCCCAGGTCGATCATAATGTAACGTTTAACCAACGCTGAAAAGCCTTTGACTCTATCTCAATCCCTTGAGAAGTTGCAGCACTTTGAAATAAATTTTGATGGAAAAAATCGAGGCAAAATAGTGATTTTTGGCAATTTTGAGATGCCCCCTCGTTGCCATGGTAACAGGAAATTTAAGACTGAGCATGTCGTTACAAAGGCAATGGTCCAGTCAACATTTGTGCCAAGTTTGATTAGTATTGAAGCATTTTTCATAGTTTCATAGCAGTTTGAACTTGTAACAGGAGGCTTTTCAGTGAAAACGGCCATTTTTCACACTATGCTCATGGGGGAAAGGGTTAACTAAAAAAAAATATAAATGTTACAAAACAACAATTTTTCACCAAAATTAGGTGAAAGACCACATGTTAACATGGAAAAACTAGTTTTTAGGTGATTCCAAAGTTTTTCATCATTTTTTGTTAACCCTTTACCACATATATACGCGAAACAACGCACTTTCGACCCCCCCCCCCTTTTTTGGGCCTCAAATAGGAAAAAAATGTCCTATTTGGGCCCCAAACATAAGTTTTCGTTTGAGAAATGTTGCTAAAAAAATTGAGCACTTTTTCGGCGCCGCCCCCCATCCAAAAGATACATCAGGGGGTTGTCAGAAGGGGGATGTGCCCCCTTCTGTTAGGGGGGTTTGAAGGGGGGCGAAGTCCCCCTCATCGCCAAGAAAATTTTGGACTTGTGAGAGGCTAAAAATGACCCCAGGTCGATCATAATGTAACGTTTAACCAACGCTGAAAAGCCTTTGACTCTATCTCAATCCCTTGAGAAGTTGCAGCACTTTGAAATAAATTTTGATGGAAAAAATCGAGGCAAAATAGTGATTTTTGGCAATTTTGAGATGCCCCCTCGTTGCCATGGTAACAGGAAATTTAAGACTGAGCATGTCGTTACAAAGGCAATGGTCCAGTCAACATTTGTGCCAAGTTTGATTAGTATTGAAGCATTTTTCATAGTTTCATAGCAGTTTGAACTTGTAACAGGAGGCTTTTCAGTGAAAACGGCCATTTTTCACACTATGCTCATGGGGGAAAGGGTTAACTAAAAAAAAATATAAATGTTACAAAACAACAATTTTTCACCAAAATTAGGTGAAAGACCACATGTTAACATGGAAAAACTAGTTTTTAGGTGATTCCAAAGTTTTTCATCATTTTTTGTTAACCCTTTACCACATATATACGCGAAACAACGCACTTTCGACCCCCCCCCCTTTTTTGGGCCTCAAATAGGAAAAAAATGTCCTATTTGGGCCCCAAACATAAGTTTTCGTTTGAGAAATGTTGCTAAAAAAATTGAGCACTTTTTCGGCGCCGCCCCCCATCCAAAAGATACATCAGGGGGTTGTCAGAAGGGGGATGTGCCCCCTTCTGTTAGGGGGGTTTGAAGGGGGGCGAAGTCCCCCTCATCGCCAAGAAAATTTTGGACTTGTGAGAGGCTAAAAATGACCCCAGGTCGATCATAATGTAACGTTTAACCAACGCTGAAAAGCCTTTGACTCTATCTCAATCCCTTGAGAAGTTGCAGCACTTTGAAATAAATTTTGATGGAAAATATCGAGGCGAAATAGTGATTTTTGGCAATTTTGAGATGCCCCCTCGTTGCCATGGTAACAGGAAATTTAAGACTGAGCATGTCGTTACAAAGGCAATGGTCCAGTCAACATTTGTGCCAAGTTTGATTAGTATTGAAGCATTTTTCATAGTTTCATAGCAGTTTGAACTTGTAACAGGAGGCTTTTCAGTGAAAACGGCCATTTTTCACACTATGCTCATGGGGGAAAGGGTTAACTAAAAAAAAATATAAATGTTACAAAACAACAATTTTTCACCAAAATTAGGTGAAAGACCACATGTTAACATGGAAAAACTAGTTTTTAGGTGATTCCAAAGTTTTTCATCATTTTTTGTTAACCCTTTACCACATATATACGCGAAACAACGCACTTTCGACCCCCCCCCCTTTTTTGGGCCTCAAATAGGAAAAAAATGTCCTATTTGGGCCCCAAACATAAGTTTTCGTTTGAGAAATGTTGCTAAAAAAATTGAGCACTTTTTCGGCGCCGCCCCCCATCCAAAAGATACATCAGGGGGTTGTCAGAAGGGGGATGTGCCCCCTTCTGTTAGGGGGGTTTGAAGGGGGGCGAAGTCCCCCTCATCGCCAAGAAAATTTTGGACTTGTGAGAGGCTAAAAATGACCCCAGGTCGATCATAATGTAACGTTTAACCAACGCTGAAAAGCCTTTGACTCTATCTCAATCCCTTGAGAAGTTGCAGCACTTTGAAATAAATTTTGATGGAAAAAATCGAGGCAAAATAGTGATTTTTGGCAATTTTGAGATGTCCCCTCGTTGCCATGGTAACAGGAAATTTAAGACTGAGCATGTCGTTACAAAGGCAATGGTCCAGTCAACATTTGTGCCAAGTTTGATTAGTATTGAAGCATTTTTCATAGTTTCATAGCAGTTTGAACTTGTAACAGGAGGCTTTTCAGTGAAAACGGCCATTTTTCACAATATGCTCATGGGGGAAAGGGTTAAGAGTTGTGCTAATTATCAATCTTTAAATCGACGGCTTACATTATTTTGCACAAAGTAATGTTTGATTTAATCACAATCTACGGCTACGGCAAATTAACAAATCATATTAACATTAAAATGGGTAAATACTTACCTCCTTTACACTGGTCGCAACACTGGCCTGGCGGTATATGATAGCCATTCTTGCATAAGCTTGAATCAAACGCGGGACACTCTTGGGAGCAATCACCAGGTGGGGGTGCTGTTACTGGGATCACAATGTAGGCGACAATACACAACACAAACGATGCCTTCACTAACAACATTCTTTTTCTTTAGATGTCTGAAAAATATGTTAAAACAACCAAGAGTTTATTTAAACAACCAAGCGTTAATTAAACGTTTTCAACTGTATCTATAAGTGTCACTTGAACGAATGTAGAGCTTATCTATTTTAAATATTGATCTAATTTATGATAAAAGAAATGTCATTTATGATTTTCTTTGAAACAGTCACTGTCGTTAAAGTCGCTGGTTTCATAGAGATTGAATTTGCAGTAAAATTACTTTAAGAACAATAAAGCATGCGGTTTAGATAATGTTTTAAATGAACATATTAGACACTCCTTCCCCATCATGAAACATATTTATTATAGACTTTTTAAACATTATTTTTACTATGGTGTAATACCTGATTCCTGGACAGTTGGTGTTATAAATCCCATATATAAAAATAAGGGTGAGGCTAGTGAGCCTAGTAACTATCGACCGATCACACTGCTGAGTTGTTTCGGAAAACTATTTACCTCTGTTTTGAATATACGATTACAAAATTTTGCGGATAAACATGATCTAATAAATCAATATCAAGCTGGTTTTCGAAAAGGGTTTGCAACTGTAGATAACATGTTTGTTTTAAAAATGTTAATTGATCTACTCCACCAAATTAAGAAAAAGTTATTTTGTTCTTTTATAGACCTAAAAAGTGCATTTGATACCATTAGTAGGTCAAGACTGTGGATAAAGCTGAATAAGAATAATATAAGTGGTAAATTTTTAAATGTTTTCAAAAGCATTTACAATAATGCGAAAACTTGCGTATGTGCAAATGGTGAAAAGTCTGATTTCTTTCCATGTAACATTGGTGTTAGACAAGGCGAAAATCTATCGCCGTTGCTCTTTTCTTTTTATTTGAATGATTTGCATGATTATTTTTCAAATAGTAACAGTATAGAAGGTGTAACATTTAATGATGAAGTACTTGGACTTGTAAAATTGTTTATTATTCTATATGCTGACGACACGGTTATTTTATCTGAGTCAGCAAACGATTTACAAATAGCTATTAACCTATATAAAAGTTATTGTGACAAATGGAAATTAACAGTTAATACATCTAAAACAAAAGTTCTTATATTTTCAAAAGGTAGGCGAACGCAGTATAGTTTTACATATGGTAATGAAAATCTAGAAGTTGTCGAGGAATTCAAATATCTAGGAATATTATTTAGTAGGAGTGGTAGTTTCCTAAAAGCAAAGACCTATATAGCTAACCAAGCAACAAAAGCCATGTACTGTTTAATTAAAAAATCAAAAAATCTTCAATTACCTTTAGATATGCAAATAGATGTTTGACAAACTTGTAAAACCAATTTTATTATATGGTTGTGAATGCTGGGGATATGGGAATAACAGTATACTTGAAAAAGTACAATTGAAATATCTTAAACATATATTAGGCCTAAAATCTAGTACACCAAATTGTATTGTGTACGGCGAATGTGGTGTTAAACCAATTTCTATTGATATTGATTGCAGAATGATTAATATTTGGTCTAATCTAGTTGTACCTAATGAATTAAAATTGTCTAGCACATTTTATCAAATTGCTCTTAAAACTTATAATACAAGTAGTAATGTTAATAGACAGACATTTCTGTGGTTTAAGCATATAAAAAATATACTTGTTAAATGTGGAAACCCTAATGTATGGACCTATCAGATGTTTCCTAATCACAAATGGTTAGTTGCCAATGTTAAGCAAAAATTGTCAGATATATTTTTAAATGAGTGGTATTGTACAGTAAACGAATCAAGTAAATGTAAAAATTATAGACTATTTAAAGAAACATTCCATTTCGAACCCTATTTAATAAATACACCAAAAAACTTATTAAGATATGTAATTAAGTTTAGAACAAGAAACAGCAGACTTCCTGTAGAAACCGGAAGTTGGAATGGTATAGATCTAAATTTTCGTAAATGTACTCTTTGTAACAGCTCCGGAAGTATTGGAGATGAATTCCATTATCTCTTTGAATGCAATGAATTATCTGTACTAAGAAAAAGAATGCTAGATCATAATTATTTAAGACATCCAAATATATTAACTTTTAAATCTATTATGAATATGAATATGACTCATTGTAATGAATACAGAAATTTTTGTTTATTTGTTAAGGAAATAATTACAAAATTTGAGAATAGTTAACATTTCTACATATTTGTTTATCATGTCCTTGAAAATGCGTGTTTCTCTCCATTTTGTTAAGATGAATTGTATTAATATTATTATTTTCATGTGTATGCTATGCCTCTTTATGTAATGTACGTTTATGTGCTATAGCTCATATTGTCATGTGTGTACATGAATTGAGTTCTGAAATAAACTTTGAAACTTTGAAACATATACTTGTCTTTCACTGCTTTGGGTCTGAGTCAAAATAAATAAATAAAATAATGGCGTGGCGTATCTTTAAATTGGCTGGCGGAAAATAAACAACCTGTGACATTTTGCTTTATGAACATAATAATTATAGGTTTTGACAGACAGCAGCTGTAAGGAAAACGTAATTACAATGAGAAACATTCACTTAATCAAAAAATAAAAAATAAATATATTTTATCATACAATACTTTTGCAATTTTAACTTGTGTATTTATTACTTTAAACTTTTATGACTGCAATATCTATGTCTGATGCGTATGGTTTATTCTTATTTCGTTTATTAAAATAAATACATGTAATTAATAATAATAAAACACAAAACGGGTTTTGATTTAAACGATGCCGTTGTTTCATTTATATTAGGATGACTTTCAAATAAAATCATTTAAAGCACCGACATAATTTTTCATTGTTCTAAGGAACAGGTAAATATCTCCATTTAACTCCTAAGTATACATTTCTTAAACAACAAGAAAAAAAATCAAATATTGGTATTATATACATGCATTAAAAGTGTTAAAGTGCGACGAGCGCAAATCAAGATCTGATCATAGTATGCATTGTCAGCTATTTGACATTTTCCATACAAAAATGAATGGTATTGTCATGATTGAAAAATGGACAAGTCTATTGACAAGAATGGTCAGGAATCTGATTTTATTTAGAATGATTCTTTGACAATCTGACGAAGAAAATATCTAACAAAGCTCTTATCTGTAATAAAATCTTCTGACGGAAGCATTAATTTATTAAAAAAATATACATACCTTAATGTACTCGTATATAGCCTTAGGTTTGATATCTCACTCCTGCAAAGAGTAAGAAATAAAATGATCACAGTTTAGTACAAGTCAGCCACAAAAACGCAAATTGCAAAATATAGTGACGTGTGCAAATTGTATTAAAGCGCCATCTACTTTATAATCATGTAGGCGATATTTTCCTATTAAACCATGAACTTATAATTAGTTTTTTTTGCGCAGTATATATTAATCAATAAACGCCTACGGATAATGTAACATATGTACAATGCAAAATGCTTAATGGCACATAACACATCACAGCACAACACAACAAAACACATGGTTACACAAGATAACACAGTACAACATACCACATTGCAACATAACACAAAGTAAAACAAGGTAACAAAACAAAGGGCAACACAACGTAGCACAGCACAACAAAAATACGGGAAAACAAACGAAATACAGCACAACACAACACATCGTAGCACAACACAGCCAAAAACAGGGCAACACAATGTAATACAACACAACGCAGCACAACGTAGTACAGCACAACACAATACATCGCATCACAACACGTCTCAAGAAAACACAGAGCAGCACAACACAATATAGTACAACACTACACATTGAAGTTCAGCTTTACATAACACAGCGCAACACAACACATCGCAACAAAAGCAAAGGGCAGCACACACGACATTGCATAACACGGTATAACAGGTGGGTATTAGGGTGGTAGTACAACTTGTTTTATGATGCATTGTATACAACTGAAACAGGCAAAGTCATGGGAGGTTTATTTTTCATGATAATGCACGGAATAAGGAAATAAGGAGTTTACATATTATGTTAAATGTTCCGGCCGTAAACCAACAAGATATGTTTGTAAAACATGTAAACCCCCCTATCGGCAGCTAATTAGTCATGTCGTCAGATTATTGTGACTGACTTTAGAGTTAGTTACCAAAAAATCAATAGGGGTTATCTACTGGTCATGTATAGTCACTCGGTAGAGGTTGTTTGCAGCAATTTTATGACAAAGTTATCAAAAATCTTACCAAATTTTTTTATATTTTTTTTTTATGAATTATGTAGGCCTCATAAATGACAGCCAATTTGTTACTAAGTATGTTACATTAGACCTGGAAATGTGTATACCAAAAAGCATTTTGTTTAATAAAAGATATCAAACAAGGTTTAGTTGTAGAGTTATTGGTCGGAAACCGTTTTTCCCGTACAAGGCCAGTGCGACTTTGACCCTTAAATCAATAGGAATTATCTACTGGCCAAGACCAATGCACCTGTGAAGATTGAAGGTAAAAGGCCCCTAAGTTGTTGAGATATTTCTCAGACAAAAGTCAATTGGGGTCACCTTCTGACCAAAGCAATGTATTTGTGAAGTTTGAAGGTCAAGGGTCAATGGGTTGTCAAGTTATTGATAGAAAACTGTTTTGACATACATGGTCGATATTTAACCTTTAACCCCTTGACCCAAAAATAAATAGATGCCATCTACTGGCCAAGACTAATGAAATTATGCATTTTGAGGGCCAAGGGCCCATGGGTTGTCAAGTTATTGAACAGAAACCGTTTTTACCTTCAATGTCAATTTGACCTTGACCTTTGACACGTTGACCTCAAAATCTACTGGCCAAGACCAATGCACCTTTGCAGTCTGAGGGCCAACAGCTCATGGGTTGTCAGGTTATTGATCGGAGACTGTTTTTACCAACAAGGTCAATATGACATTGACCTTCGACCACTTGACCACGAAATCAATAGAGATCATTTACTGGCAGATCGAAGGCCAACAGCCCATGGGTTGTCAAGTTATTGATCGGAAACCGGTTTTACCTGAAAGGTAAATGTGACCTTGACCTTTGACCCCAACATCAATAGGGGTCATCTATTTGCCAAGTCAAATGCACCTACGAAGTTTGAGGATTATGATATACAAAGTTTGAAGTTCGCAGGCCTGACCATTCTTTAGATCGGAAACCATTTGGTTTACGGACCGACAGAGCGAGCGAGCGACCGACCGACAGACAAATGCAAAGCATTATACCCCCACTTCTTTAAAGGGGAGCATAGAAAATGACCATTCGCGTCTTGTCGGCCTTTTCCGTCAAACTTCGGAAAGAATCTCGATCACAATAATAAGAATACACAGAACGGATAAGGTATTTCGGTCTAACTTACGCTAAGAAACTAAACTTGCAAACAAATAGTAATTTAATGCTAGAAGTGTTATTCTAATATATCGAGTAAGTACCATATGTAGATTGAGTAAATGTAAAGGTATAAAAGTAAACAGTACATTATTTATATACTTATTCTTCTGGTTGAAGAAACCCAAAATAAAAAATTTCTACTCGGATTTGGTTTCAATTCAGTGGGCATTTTTTTAAAATTGATTATGATTGTTAGACATATTTTTAAAAATAATTTTACGGAAAAAGACCTTATTTTCCTTTGGATTTCAAATACATTGTTTATACATTCGTTATACATTATCAAAGATAACATCCCTTGTTTTTGTATAAATCTGAAATACTTTCAATACGCATTAAGTACAAGGTTATCATGAATAATAGCCCAAATGTTCAGATTGCAAATATGACGTCATAAACAAAAATCCGTTTCCGATCAACGTATTTCAATTTTCTTTCATTTGGCATGTTAGCAATGATAGAAATGGATCTAGATATCATTGTTTTGCGTTGTTTGTTTGTTTTGTTTGGTTTTACGGCGCTACTACACATTTAAGTTCATATGGCGCCGAAACAGGAGAGATGATTTTAGCTAACCTAAGGTGTTACAAACTTAAAACAAATTAATGGGTGGCTGCAATTCTGATGCCTGAACCTGTAAAGGCAACCTATTACGTACAGTAGTAATTCAAATGATATTTAATTATATGGACGTACATCTGAAATTGACCCGTGCATTTTAGCTCACCTGTCACAAAGTGACAGGGTGAGCTTTTGTGATCGCTTTTCGTCCGGCGTCCGTCCGTCGTCCGTCCGTCGTCCGTAAACTTTTACTTTAAATGACATCTCCTCATAAACCGCTGAGCCAATTTCTTCCAAACTTCACAGGAATGTTCCTTTGGTGGTCACCTTTAAAAATTGTTCAAAGAATTTAATTCCATGCAGAACTCTGGTTGCCATGGCGACCGATAGAAAAAACTTAAAATATCTTCTTTTAAAAAATCCAAAGAGGTAGAGCTTAGATATTTGGCATGAAACATCTTCTAGTGAGTGTCTATCAAGTTTGTTCAAATAAAAGCCCTGGGGTCAAAATTGGCCCCGCCCCAGGGGGTCATTGATTTTCCCTATATGCATATAGTAAAAACTTAAAAAATCTTCTTTTAAAGAACCCAAAGAGCTAGAGCTAAGATATTTAGCATGAAACATCTTCTAATGGGTGTCTACCAAGTTTGTTCAAATAAAAGCCCTGAGGTCAAATTTGGCCCCGCCCCAGGGGGTCATTGATTTTCCCCTTTATGCATATAGTAAAAACTTATAAAATCTTCTTTTAAAGAACCCAAAGAGCTAGAGCTAAGATACTTAGCATGAAAGATGTTCTAATGAGTGTCTATCAAGTTTGTTCAAATAAAAGCCCTGGGGTCAAAATTGGCCCCGCCCCAGGGGGTCATTGATTTTTCCCTTTATGCATATAGTAAAAACTTAAAAAAACTTCTTTTAGAGAACCCAAAGAGCTAGAGCTAAGATACTTAGCATGAAAGATGTTCTAATGGGTGTCTACCAAATTTGTTCAAATAAGAGCCCTGGGGTTAAAATTGGCCCTGTCCCGGGGGTCATTGATTTCCCTTATATGTGTATTGCAAAAGCTTTTTTAAATAAATCTTCTTTGAAAAAACCCAAATAGCTAGAGTTTAGATATTAAGCATGAATCATCTTCCAGTTAGTGTCTTCAAAGTTTGTTCAAATAAAAACCCTAGGGTCAAAATTGGCCCTGCCCCGGGGAGACATTAATTCTCCTTATATGTGTATAGCAAAAACTTAAAAATCTTCTTTGAATAAAAACAAATAGCTAGAGTTTAGATATTAAGCATGAAACACCTTCTAGTAAGTGTCTTCAAAGTTTGTTCAAATAAAAGCCCTGGGGTCAAAACTGGCCCCGCCCTAGGGATGTCATTGCTTTTAACTATATGTGTATAGTAAAAACTTAAAAATCTTTTTTTTTAAAACTCAACGAGCGAGACCTTAGATGTTTAGCATGAAACATCTTCTAATGAGTGTCTACCAATTTTGTTCAAATAAAAGCCCTGGGGTTTAAACTGGCCTCGCTCTGTGGGCCTATATACAGGTGAGCGACTTCAGGGCCATCATGGCCCTCTTGTTATACATTCTAATGTACGGAAAAGTTAAAAGACACATTATGCTTCAGAAACGACAGTTTTCTTTTTCTCATCTATTACCTAAATAAACAGATATGAAGGACTTGGCGATTATGAAGCCATGTTTGGCTCTATACTGGTATGTTATTGCCATCAGCGACAAATAAATACAATTTTCATATATTTTAAATGGTTAACTTTTCGACTAATTTCGTTTAATTAAAACGCATATAGGGCCGTAGGGTCCTAATGGCTTAACAATTTGTCACATCGGTACAATTTTTTTCCGGACAATATTAACTAGTATATGGTCATGTTTGTTCGTTCGATATGAGACATTTCAATATTGCACTCTAAGATCTAATCGGAACTTATCGGATTGTAAAATTTTGTTTAAACACGCATTTTAAGGTATATACCAGAAGCTCCATTTATTCTTTAGAATAAGCAATTATACAGGGAGTCAAACGTGTAGCGGCGCGATACTTTTTTAAGCAAGGTGAAATTGCGCGATGCAGAATAATGGCGGAGGAAAGTGACAAATAATGTGGGTAAGAACCAAATATTTGTTGCATGTTGCAATTTTTGTTCTTTGTTCCAATAATATAGTGCATGCTGAGCGGAAGATATATTTGTATATGATGTTCAAAATAAAAGAATCTATTTCATTAAAGGAGAAAGGAGAAAGTTATGCTAGTATTTGTTACTTCAAATGCCACCGGCAATCTGACATACAAAAACAATTCAATAACAGAC